CAAGTTTGAAAAACAATGCTCGTCCCTGGGTGGGCTCGAACCACCAACCTTTCGGTTAACAGCCGAACGCGCTAACCGATTGCGCCACAGAGACGATGTCCTTGTATTGGACTGCAATGCTTTTTTTCAAACGGTTCACACATAGTGAATACAAGCAGTCAATGTCCAAAACTAAGCAAATGTATGCATTCATATCTCTTGTGTTGCATTTGCAACGTCAGCCAACGCCCATAAAATGATAATGTAACGATTGTGATACTGTTAAAGCAATAACAAAAAATGGCATATGGTTCCTTGCAGACACAGCCCGGCTAGCTCAGTCGGTAGAGCATGAGACTCTTAATCTCAGGGTCGTGGGTTCGAGCCCCACGTTGGGCGTCAGATTTTTGATTATTGCTGTTGTGTGAACTTACAAACAAGACAAATTCTTTAATGTAGGAAGAGGAATACTCACCTGAATTTTCTGTTGCTTTCTCACAAAATGCTAAGGTACTCTAAGTCAGGTAACAGGTTTAATGGACCCTTATTCAAATGCTTACAACATGAGTGTCTGTGGCACAAACATTTTCTTAAATGGAAAAAAATCAATAAAAACTAAAATAAAAAGGAGAGAGAATAAAAAACAAAAGCATGTTTCCGCCCGGTTTCGAACCGGGGACCTTTCGCGTGTTAGGCGAACGTGATAACCACTACACTACGGAAACTCAGACGACAGTGCCCTCCACAGGGAGCTAGACATAGTAACCACTGTCAGGAGACCACAACCATAAAAAGGACTCTCACTGCAACACAACATTGTCATCATAGTGAATAAGCATGCACATCATCTGGCACAATTGCTAATTTGAAATACTGCTCATTTAGGATTTACGAAACTATCAGACGCTCCAAAACCTGGACCCTGCTGCTGGATTTAACATGTTATGCAATCTATTTGAGATAAGCGTTGGTGGTATAGTGGTTAGCATAGCTGCCTTCCAAGCAGTTGACCCGGGTTCGATTCCCGGCCAACGCATCACATTTTGTACTTTTAGTTGCTTTATTCATGAATAGGACAGAATTACTTCCTGTTTTGTTGTCATTTGTGCCGTCTCACTGCAGTACTCCAGGAACAATTGCAGCAACATACAATACACTAACAGCAGCAACAATGAATGCATTCCTTAGTGATTACCATATAAGTAGGTAATAGTAGAAGCAATAATTGAATCACCAGCCATTAAAGTAAAAGCAGTAGTGACAACAGTAGTAGTACAAGCAGCAGTGATAATTTCTCTAATTTATGTGTAAAATGCACCTGAGCACTAGGAGCTCTTGTTGGTGGTCCTCTCCCAGAAACAAACAGACATGAAAACACTAGCTACCATTCTACAACACTAACACATTGATAATTACATTTAAGCCTAAATGTAACAGGGTAATACAACGATTACATTCAATCAGCGCCATGGATAAGCTTTTGCTATTGAAGAACCAATTTCTGGTGCAAGGAGCCAAGGACCAAACAGACTGCTCTGAACTAATGCAACATCAAACACTTTATGACACAATTCTAGCACCAGTGCAACAGGAAAGCAAAGCCTTGGAGACAACAATGACAACACAATATTACCATGTCAGCAGAATTAACTTAGAAATTAACCTCAGAGGGGTTACTCACTCTTTCGATGATCACTTGCTCCTGGAAGAATTACTTTGCAACTTCCAGGCAAAAAAAAAGCTATAATGAAGACAATACATTCATGTTAGTGTCCCATTTCAAACATTATTACCTAACATTTGGGGCAATTACAAATAGCCTGAGATTCTTCTTTCATATTGCTAATTCCCATAACTGAACAATGCCCCCGTGTATGAATGCAAGTATAAAATATTAAGGTTTACCATTTACCTGATTTCCAATGGACTTACAATGCTATTTTTGTGCAAAAAACACGAATATAACACAAACTCACCATGCATACCTAATTCTCATATTTTATAACGTAATTTTTATTCATAAGTATATCTTCTTCAATTTTCCTTTTTAAAGTATAACCAGTAAAACAGAAATGTAATTTCCAAGCCTTAATAACGTATCAGTTAACATGTAGGGACTGTAATCACTTTCTGGTAGATGGAAAGCTGCATTCTGTGAGATGAATTAGTCTCTCAAAACTGTTTCGACTGGTAAAGACAACTGGATAGATTATACACTAGGATACGATGCATGATAAACAATGCATAGACATGAGGACAGTTCCAAACGGGAAGACTCCCAAATTATTATTTGAGCCACGTAAACGCAGCTGCACATGTATTAAAAATGAAGGATTCACTTTTTACAAGCAGCATACATGGTAATCAATTTTTAATAAATCAGAAAATTTTAGTTAAGCTTATTATAACTGAGTGTAAATTTCGTAGTTTTTGTCCTGCCTCCGCAATTCTACATTGTGTGAAACCCCACAAAACAAACCACACGGAGAAATCTAACAAGTTAGCTTGATCTGTAAGTGAGCCCTAAGCTAACGTGACTTTACCTCGTCAAGGTCGCAGCAAAACGCGTAAGGAAAAAATACACAAACTGTAATTTACAAGAATTCATCTCAAGAAAATAATTTACTTTCGAGGAGTTTGGTAAAAGTGATACATTTACTAAATTGGATACTTAGACAGAATGTTTTATTGTTACGGCAACGAATTTAGAACACGTCGTCATAAGCTAGCATTGTGCATTAACGTTAGCCGAGGTTTGCTAGGCTATGCGGTATGCTAAGTAGCGAGCTAGCGTCGAAAAGTGGTAACATTTACCTGCGTTCTCAGTTTCATATTCGGCAGATGTCCCAACTGGCGAAAAACAATTCCCAACACGTTTTTCTTTAAATTAACACTGAACGGTGCCGTCTAAATCAGTTTAGACAAACTTTTTTCTCTTCTTTCACGGATGACCTTGTCGAAACGCACTTGCTTCGTCATTGCGCACTTCGCCCGCTCCCACAATCACCCTCCGCACACGTGACCACAGTTGCGTTCAGGTGTCGCCGGTGTTAAATGACAGTCATTATAATCAGGTATAAATTGAATTGCGTTTTTCGTTTTGTTAATTAAACTTAGCGTCAGGTGAAAAATAATTTGTCCTCTGTTATTTTTTCACCATCTACTTTGTCCTTAATTGAATGTATCCATTGTATATTTTACATAATTACTGAATTTACTATATTACCTTTCACAAGCAAGTACATATGATTCAGATGAGGTCTGAAAAAAAATTAATTACCAATAACTATTAAACTTAAATTATGTCGTTTTTATTCCTCAGTTTTTCAGAATAAGCAGTTCTACCAGTGTAAAATCTTGAAAGATAGCTGACATCTCACTCATAGACAGATTAAAAAATGTTAACATATAATAAAAACGGAATAAAGATTATGCCGTGATCAGTTTAGGATGCTTGCAGAATATTTGAAGCTAATAAAGCAAAAATAACTGGATCATGGAAGTGATAATAGGTTCTATAATTCTAGAATTTCATGAAGGATGTTGTACTGATTCGTTTAACTGTGACATGACATGTTTATTAATTAATACAGTTATTCACTGTGCGTGTAATGCACAGTGAGTGCTTTTGATACTTTAAATGCATCGTATCTATATCATTACTGTGCTTTAACGTAAGTAAAAATATAAATTAGAATATAAAGTAGAAATTCACTTACCCGTGTGTTAATTAACAAACATGTCTTGTACAGTTGGAGTTATCAGTTACAATATTTTAGTCAAGTTTGAAAATAAAGGTGGATGAATTGCGCCATCTTGTGGTGATTAAATCTGGAAAAGATCAGTAAAGCATCCATGAAATTTGAAGTTATTTGTTCTGTTTCTGTTGTTTGACTTAAGTAAAGAAACCAACAAGTCTCCTCCACTGTGGAGGTATATCATGAAATAAAACAAGCAACACACAAAATCCATCTTAAATTCCTGAGTGTTACACCTTCCTTGCAGCAGCACTAGAAGGAGAATTGAGGGATGAGCTTTTACTTTTTCCTAATCTGTTTGTTTTGCCAGCTCTATAATAATGCTGTCACTACTGCTCAATCATGTCTGTACATCATTATGTTGTTAAATTAGTGCATATTGGTAAATAGTAAAGATTCAGTTTTGTTTATTAACACATTTGTCGTGGTACCGTGTAAATAAACAGGGGTTTTAGGGGAACCTGTTTTTAACCGCGTGCAATAAAGAAGCCCAATCATCACGTGACCACTCCGCTACAGTGTGGTTGCCATGGAAACGAGCTCTTCATCAAACAGCGCGAGGGCTCCCAACTGCAGCGAGCGACCAACACCGGAAGGAAAAGGGGAGATTATTCGACGGTATTTGACCTGTGGTGAGTACAAGTCCTCTACCGTGTTAACGTTAAGAAGCACGGCGTTACCGGCTGCCATTTTAACTGAAAATAACAGACACGTGTGTAATAAGGAGCAGTGGAGCAGGTCCTGTTATCTGCCTGGTGCTACCACACACTGAGTGTGACTAAACGTCCGCTAAAGTCTGTCAAAATTAAACCGTTAATTTAGCTTAGACTGTAAACTAATGCAGCTTTGTGTTAAGAGAGGGTGGATAAAGGGAAAAAAAACATATGGTAAGCGGTAATAATGAATATACTTAAACAATGAGAATGTAGTTTTATGATTTGGATTCGACTTTTGACAGTTTGCTTTTATTTTACAGACAGGTTAATCGTATTTCCGGTGTAAAATTGGTAACTTCACAATGCTGCAGCAGCACTAGCATCTACCAAGACTAATATTATACATACTATACCACAATATAGATCTACTGAAGCTAAATACTTTGATGCAACAGAATTTGAGGAGCTTACACTGTAATATAATTGCTAGTTTTGATAAAAATAAGTAGAGGCCTCTGTGACAGCACATACTCATTTAAATGGTGCTTGTTATTGGATAAAACTGACTGCTGCTACACATTCCCCCACAGGTCATCATGCAGGATAACAGGAACGGGATGATGGCATTCCCTCCACCGATCAGCAAAGACAGGATTATCTGGGAATTCCCCAAGGTAAAATACCGCTTTGTTTGCAAATATAACCTAGTGGCAATATGTAATCTGCTCCAATTTGATCCAGGTCCAGAATCCTTACTGTTGTTAAAATGGTAGGCGTGCCGGACAAGAGGAGGTTACATTCATAGGAAACATGTGACTCCCACCTAACTTTCTTAGATGGTTAAATCCGTGTCAGATCACAGTGCTCAGGGTAATTATGGGGAGCCTCAGTCAACATATATCTTGACTTCTGAGTCGTCTCCAGATAATGCATTTTAGCTCTTATAATTTGGATATGAATCTGTATTTACTTACTTTGGTTTCTAATGGGGTCAGTTTACAGGTTTTCCCGTGTTTCCCACCCTTGGTATTCCAACCCATTACTGTGGAACACAAACTAGTATTCCAAAAATATATTAAGTCATGTGACTAAGATTCAGTCCTTTAAATGCTCCTAAATGTAGTTGAACATGTAATTAACTGTCCTACATACAGTCTGATAAGTCTTTAAGCTTCTAGATGGTCAAAGTTATACTTGCATCAACTCTTGGCATCAAAATGCTTTATACTGTAAATCTGGTTTTGAGAACCAAAAAGAATGCAAATGTAAGTCAGATGTTGATGTTTAACAGCTCAGTATTGCTGACATCTTCAGCAGGTTAATATGTATCAGGGTGGGATTTAACCAAGTTTATTCTAACCTAGTTACAGTGTGTGTTTGCACAAATAGAACTAAAAACAAACTGCACAAGTAACTATATCAGGAAGGAATTTTCTTTGCATCGCAGCACACGTATGTTTCCCAGCTAGGGGTTCGTTGACTACCAGTGCAGTATTATACAGTAATCACCCACATTAAAAATACAGGCAGGTGATGTGAATCACATTGGTCATCCCTTTACAGTGCAATGTTCTGCAGGGAAGTCTTGGTTCCTGGTATTTATGTGAATGTTGTTTTGACACATACCACCGACCTAGACATTGTTGTAGACCGAACACACCCTCCCATGGCAACGGTACTTCCCAACATGAGCAGCAGGACAATGTGCCGCATCACACTGCAGAAACTGCTCAGGAAAGGAACAGAATGAGGAACAAAGAGTCCAAGGTGTTGAACCGACCTCCAAACTTCCCAGATCCCAATCTGACCAAGCATTCATAGAATACGTCAGAATAAGCTGCATGCTGTAACTGATTGGTGTATGCTTTATACGATAAAGTAAATGCTGAACTTGATATATTTTAAATTACATGTATCATGATAACGACATAGCTGGAAGTGTCTCAATGTCTGTCTGTCTGTGTGGTTCAGACTGAAATTTAAATCTCATCATACGTTGTGTTGCCAGTTGAAACAGTCAATTCTGCTGACTTTGTTGATGACTCAGTTTTTTGTGTAATGCCACAGTGATGTTTTTGACCTTGAAAGAAATGTCAGCTATTGCACTGATTGCCATAAAAACTAGTACAGATATTAATGATACCCAGCAAATAAATCCCCTGACTTTTCATCCAGGAGCATCATTAAACCTAAGCTTTTACTTAATATCTCATCAGCTGATGGTACAAAAGTTTGTACAAACATTCATTCGTTCCAGAAGACATGTACTTTGTGTTTATTGTTAATCAGCAAATGTTAGCATGCTAACCACTAAGCTAAGAGGGTGAACGCGGTAGATATTATACTTCCTTATCATGCTAATACTGTCACTGTGAGCGTGCTTTCATGTATGTTAGGATTTAACTAAACTCAGTGGCATGCGTACTGCAAGTACACCTCACAGATCTGAAGGCACGACTGTGGACTTTTAGGCTATAACAGGTCACTATGTGCAGAGTAAATGTCAATAGTATTTGTTCTGTTGATGTCAGTGCTACACACCTGAGGCCTCGCTGCAGCTGAAGAAAGACTGGGACACTGAGGTTAAAGCTGCCTGTAAAGACAGAGCCGCCAGGCATCAGCCGTAAGTCTCTCTTCAGTTGTGATTCTTAACTTTGCTTGAACGTCACACAAAAGCATGCACAGTGTATCTCATTAACAGCAAACCTGTTGTCTTTCTTTAAAGGTGGGACAGACAGAAAATGTCAAAAGTGGTGGTTGTTGGAGACCTTAATGTGGGGAAGACCTGCCTCATTAATAGGTACTTTAATTATTAGCCAGTGAAGACAAGAGTTAAACAAAATGACAGAGATGGTATTATCAAATTCCATCTTTTTTACAGTTGGTATATAGTTGCACAACAAAGTGAGTAACTTTTCACAGAACAGTAACATGACTACCAGGCACCCTGACATCCATAACAACGATATTACAAGTGTTAAATATAATAGGTTATAGACAGCAGGACCTCACACATTTCTATACATCATTTCTGTAATATTAATCATGATTTGCATAGTATACAGCAAAAGGGAGGCAAATTACATTTTAAGCAGACTCTTCTATCTAGTCCATTTTTTAAAATATATATTAACCACTTCTCAGTCTTAGAAGACTGATTAGTACATCTCAATAATCTGTGATGATTTTATGGCAGTTCTGGATCAATCTACCTGTTTATGAGTGATTGCTTTTTTTGTTGCGGTCAAACTTTTTACTGGTCCTGTGGTTTGTGAAAGTTCTTCCTCGCTTTACATTTGTATCCACCACTGACTCGGTTGTTAAATGACAGATGTAGAACAATCAGTATATAATATGACTGTGCTGTTAGTTGTGTGATTCCTTTAGGCTTCATATTTCTTGTAAGAAATATGTAATTCTGACCATTTTTTTTGCTGCAAAAATGTTTTTTCCTTCCTCTCCTGCTCACAATCAGATGTCTTTTGTGATTCCTTTGGATACATTAAACTGCTGCTGTAACAGCTATAACGTCATTCAAAATCACAACAGAACTGCATTGAAAAAGTATACAATGTACAAATTTAGCAAAATCTCTTAAGTACTTTGTGTAATCCGGTCGGAACCATCACAAGAAATGTAGTCAAATCAAACAATCTTGCTTATTTTTGCTGTTTTCAGATTTTGTAAAGATGTTTTTGAAAGAGACTACAAAGCCACCATAGGAGTGGATTTTGAGATCGAGAGGTTTGAGGTATCTGGAGTACCTTTCTCTCTTCAGATGTGAGTAGTTTGATTTTTAAGATGTAATTCTACTGTTTGTTTTTTTTTCTTCTTCTTTTTGGTCCATCCATGTTAACCGGCAGTGACTTTCTCTTCTAGCTGGGATACTGCTGGACAGGAAAAATTCAAGTGTATTGCTTCTGCATACTACAGAGGCGCTCAGGGTAAGAAGCTGTCACTGATACTTAATTATAAAAAGATGGTTGTATGTCTGATCGAACCATTTTGCATTTTAGCTAGTATAAACTAATAATACAGAGATTTCTTGTTCTTCTTTTTCAGTCATTGTCACTGTGTTTGACATGGCCGATATTAAGTCTCTAGATCACACACGGTAGGTCTCATCATTGGTGGGTTTATTCTACTGGTGTGTGAAGTCTGCAACACAGGAAGCAATACGTTTAAAAATGGAAGAAATCATTCGAGCAGACTGCAAACTTTAATATAATTTTCATCACTGTTTTCAGTTTATGATCAGTTTATGCTTCATGACAGCATTCAGCCTTTTTTTCTGGTCTACAGCTTTACTCACATTAACATTCGCTGTTCTTGTCAGCCAGAACAAGCTGCTTTTTTGAGCAGTAAAGCACTATGAAGCCATTGTCCACTCCCTGCTCTCCAAAAAACAGCAGACAGACACAGTTAAGGACCAACATAGTGGAGCTTTCAGCAGCTAAATGGCAACATATTTACCCCAAGAGTTGGTGGAGACTAAATCAACTAATAGGAGAGTGAATATTGGCTATCCATCACCAAATGAATCAGACTTTTGCTACATATTTTACAAAATAGGCAACTGAAAAGCCCAGTATGGTGAATGAATAGGTTTAGTGGTGTCAGTGTGATGAGAATGCAATGGGTAGGAAAAAGAAAAACAATCTTAATCAGCATAGAACAACCATTGTGTTGTAGCCAGAGGGCCAGGACTGAGTTACATAACAGTAAGTATAAGGAACAAGACGTAGCTTTTCTGAGGTTTCAGCTGCATTTTACTGCAGCGTAAATGAGCTCCTATGTTCTTAAGTAATGAAGCCACAAATAGTAAAAATGCAACAAAAAAAATACAGTGAGGATTTCTAAAAGTACTTTTTTAAAATTTTTTTTTAGATATTTACATGGACTGAGATTGTGAGCTCCTGGTCATAGGTGTGTTTAATGGCATATTTTCACTCATTCACTGTCCATGAAATCAAAACGATCACATTTACTTTAAGGACTTATGTTAAGGGTTTTTCAAAAGTACCCCTAGTACATAGACGGAAAACACCCAACTGGAATCAACTTCCTTAGCAGTGTGTTGAGTTTCTGTGTGTTTTTGTGGTTATTTTACGTCACTTTGTAGTTGCATTGCATCTTTTTCTTGAATTTGGCATCTTTATGCATCTCATTGTGGTCCCTTTTGCTCTCTGTGGTTGCACTGTCTCTTAGCTAATGTTTTGTATCTCTTAGTAGTTGTTTTGTTTCACTCTGCAGTAGTTCTGAGTGTCTTTTAATGGTTTCCCTTAACACGTTAGAGACATAATTAGGGAATCCAGCTGAAAGGTCTCTGTAGCTCTCAAAGACATTTTTGAATTGAGTCTACAAAAATTAATATTAGGGCATCTGAAAAGTCAGCAACTTATTTTAGATGACAGTTATTAACTATTAGTTAACATTTAGTAATATACATTTATTTTGTTTTCATAGCCAGTGGTTGAAGGAGGCCATGAGAGAAAATGAGCCTGACTCCTGTTTCATCTTCTTGGTTGGCACGAAAACTGACCTGCTGGTGAGGATCTTTCACATTTTTTATTTTGTAGATATTATGTACATGCTTTTCTTCTATAATTATTGTGTTCTTAAGCCCGCAGAAGAAAGACAGAGGACAGAAAAAGACGCCATCAGGATTGCAACAGAACTGCACGCAGAATTTTGGGCTGTTTCTGCCAAAGCAGGTAAAATCAGGAGCTCAGACTTCTCAGTGGTTTACAGTACATTAAGACAACATGAATAGATTGCATCCAAGAAAAAAACACCTCAAGCAGCTGCTTAATTTTGTGGTTTTCAGGGGAGAACGTGCAGGGATTTTTCTTCAGGGTGGCAGCGTTGGCCTTTGAGAACTGCATACTGAAGGACATGGAGAGCGGGGTCCCTGCTAGCATCGGCAGTTTCAGTGAGTAAAGGATAATGATTACAAAAGAAATCTTGAGAGCATGAACAGTTATGTGAACTTCTTCTTTTTTTTTTTTTTTTAAAATCAGAATCAGATTGTGCCAACCTAGAGGAGGCTGCACCCAAAGAAACGAAGAGAAGCTGCTGCTGAACGGGGGAGCTGCTAGGAGAACCAGACCGAGGCTCTATTCTGACCTTCAGCGTCAGAATTCAGAAGGGACTGACCTTGTTCTATGGGAGGGAAATGTGCCTTAGGTTCTGTTAGGTTCATAAATCATCAAAACTGCCATCTATTCTGATTTTGGCTGAAAGTTCAGTCAACCTTTGGACTGGATTATTGGATTAAACTCTGTTCAGTGTGTCTTATTTTCATGGAGTATTGGACATTTCTGCAATATTTCTAAAAAATAAACTGCATCAAGTCCATCGTTTCAGAGGTGCCTGGGCGTAGTGCCTGGACTTATTTGCGATAGGCCAATCATGCCTTTGCTAAATTTTTATATGGATGCTTCAGATTTTCTTTGCTACTGTCATAGTATTTGTTTCTTCATGCAGTATTGCTGTAAAATATGTCTCACCTGTTATCATGGGTTGTATACAGATGGATTTATAAACAGTGGAAACCAAATATTTTTATTTACTATTGAGTATATAAAAGTTTAGATAGGTCTATATGTTTATGAACTATGAGCTACTAATTCTATACATATAATGTTAGTAGTGCTAAACGATTTGGGGAATTTCTTTTTTTTTTGACAGATATTAAGATTTGATTTGCAATATAATTGCATAAGGTCTGTGTAATAGATTTAAAACATGAAGGAGAATTACCAGTTGTAAAAATTATGTCTGTCACACAAGGAAGATGGCAAGAATCTGTTAAATCCTTGACAAGACTGTGGATCGTATGCACTGCTTGATGTATATCACGATTTCAATTTGAAATCAATTAATCATTTACTCACTCAGAATCTTGTATTGTAATTTCTCAAAGTAATAAATCAGTGCAGTCATTGCTGATAGTAGCATATGTACATTTATGAGTCCAGTGTTTTGTTTTTGTTTTAATCAAATAAAAGTAAAGGACGACTAAATAAAGTGTGCAGTGTTAATAATATTCACATCAAATAAGATTATGAGGTAGAGATATTTTAAGTTTACACTAAGTATCCCTCACTGTAATTACTGAACGTGTAACGAAGCTCGATTTAAACAAAGATGAGCGATTTAAAAATTTGCATCACTTTATAGCTGTAAGTCGTCAAATGTCGGGCGTGGCATTGTCAGACCAGTGTTACCTAAAGGTATGTATATTAACTGTAGAGAGAATATCATATTATACGTCTAGTTTGAGGAGGTTTTTCGAAGTTTGGCACAAATCTATGATTTAATCGTCCGAACGACGCGAAGAAGGAAATACGCGGAATGAAACCTCTTGCTTTGCTAAGATACTCTTTGATCGGCAGCGAACCAATCACAGCACACGTTTCCATGTTTTGGAGGAAGTGAAACTAGTGTTAGCTAGTTAGCTAACAAACCGCTTTGTTTGTGCACCTAGAACAGTGCTTCTAACTTATATAAGTTATGTGGATACGTCTTCAGTGCAAGTACTTATTGTAGCGTTGGAACTAATGGATTTAGTTACCTAGTTAGCTGTAAGCTGTCTCAAATTAGCCCCATGCTAGGCGAGCTAATGTCAACAGCACAGAGCAGTTTGAGCTGCTAGGAGTTTGAACTGCTGGAGGACAGTTCAGGTACTGCTTCTTCATACTTCTGTTTTTATTAAATAACTGCTACAATTGTTTTAATATCTATGGACGTTTTGAATGTACGTATTGTAGTTGTGTAGATGGGTATAGAGAGACTTAACGGTACCTTTGAGAACCTGTCTGGCAGCTCACTGTGGGGCATCATGGGAAAAAGTGCTGCATCAGTGTCAACAACTTTATATCAGTTGAAGAGCAACGTTTCGATAAGTAGCTCCAGAAGAAAACTGCAAGAAAATAATTAATGAATTAAGTATGTCGCAGCATTACAATATTAGAGCATACAACATAATTTATTAAATCACTGGACAATATCAGAAAGTCTTATTTCCACTGATACCCCTGTATAAAATGTTAAGTCCACTTGTTGTTTGGAGCTCTTACAAGCAGTACATTCAACGTGGCATTACTGCAGGAAGATGACCATTGCAGCTCTGATTAGTGGTATTGTGTCTCATTCTGCACCATCTGGGTACTGCTGCAACTGTGTTTCTGCAAGTCTTTAGTTAGTCTGCGTTCTTTCTGTGTCAGTTTTCATCTTTTGTTGATTCTAGCAATCAGATTTTTTTTCAATTCTTTTACATGTGGAGCTATGAGGCAGACATGCACATACACACAGCCCATAGATCCCAAACTGAGAAAGTTGTGGTGTTTATAGGTCATTTCAGTTTCGTTTTGCATTAACTTTCTTCACTGGAACCTGTATTTTTAATGTAATTCAGAAATAATGCAATTATAAAGAGGTGATATAATTTGAGTCATTTGCACTTTAAGTGATATTGCACAAGGGTATCTGAGTTTAGGAATGACAAGACAATGCAGGAGAACAAATACGTTCACATGGCGCCCCTGTGATAGTTTGCTTGCAACTTTAAGAAGTCACTAATAAACTAATGTATTTGTTTCTCAGCTAGTTCATCATGAAGACCAATTCCAAGTCCTACAAGCTTGTGCTGCACAAGAAAGGTTTTGGTGGAAGCGGTAAGCAGACATTTGCAATGCAGCAGCATGCATTCTCAATTTCTGTCTCTTTTGTGAAAGACTGAATTTTTGTTGCATTGTTTTTCAAATGGACTTTTCCTTTAAATAGATGATGAGTTGGTTGTCAACCCAAAAGTTTTCCCTCAAGTCAGTCTGGGGGACATAATTGAGATCGCACATCCCACAGACGAATACAGGTGAGCTTACATAACGAGACACTGTCACTGTGGTGGAGATATCTTTTCTTTTTTTTTTACACAGTTTAACTGATGTAATATAACATGGCATTTCTCCTTTAAAATTCTCAGCCCTCTCTTGCTGCAAGTGAAGAGCTTAAAAGAGGATCTGCAGAAAGGTAAATGTATTGCAATGTAAGGCAGCAGCATGTTTGCTGTATATTCAGGAATTCAGTTCAGCTTCATCAAATTAAACGCAATTTATCTGCACATCCCAACAAAGAGCTGCTTGTTGCTGCAACTGTACACAGCAGGATAAAATAACACAGAAAGAGTACAGACCTGAGATAATTACTCAATTTACTGATTTGTAGATTTCTGTAAAATCAAGCATCAAGCTTTTGATTAATGTGACCTTATTCCCTGTTTATAAATGCAAGGATTTGCTGATTTTCTTCTCTTTTCTTTCGTCTTTGTCTTTTGTGATACTAAACTCTGGGCTTTAGACATCAGAAAATGTTAATGTTTCATGATATTATGTCTTTATATTGACTAAAATTGTGTTAACAAATTAAGAAAATAATTGACATAAATATAGTTATGAAACATTAGTTGGCAGCCCACAGATCTCAGAATAATGAGTGTTCATGATGTTCAGTGTTGCTTGTCTCTGTGGTAGAGATGCAGACCAACTTTGTGGTCATTTTTAGAATTTGTTTGGTGATTTTACTGTATTTAATTTTAAATAAATAATAGAGTTTCTGTTATTTTGTCCATTTCCTTTATTGTAGAGCATAAATTGACAAATATTCATTAATTTTAAATGTTCTGATATTGTATTCTTAAGTCAATGCAAAGGTTTCCTGATACTTTGCCTCCATGATGGATATCTTGTCCTTACACAGAGACGATCAGTGTGGACCAGACTGTAGCACAAGCCTTCAAGCTGCGTGCTTACCAGGATGTTACCGTTAACATTGTTGACCCGAAGGTATGCTCACTCTGAGAACTCTGCAGCTCCTCCAGATGTTGAAGGAACAGAATCTTTTAATATTTTCCTTCACAGGATGTAACGCTGGACCTGGTGGAGCTGACGTTCAAGGACCAGTACATCGGCAGAGGAGACATGTGGAGGCTGAAGAAGAGTCTGGTGGGTCCCGTGAATGATTTATCTCAGTGTAATATTGAATGCGATTGAGAATTTGACTCTTATGTTCTGTATTTCAGGTGAGCACATGTGCTTATGTGACCCAGAAGGTGGAGTTTGCAGGAATCAGGTACATTACATCTGCATAAGGGCACTGACAGTGACTTCAATTTGCTGTAAACGAGGGATCTCCAGCTCCGGTCCTCATGAGCTACTGTCCTGCAGGTTTTAGACGTTTCCGTACTGCAACACACCTGACTCAAATAAATGGATCTCCAATAACTTGTTGTCAAGTTCTACACAAGTCTGTTAATGATCCATTAATTTGAGGACCGGAGTTGGAGATCCCTGCTGTAAACTGTGATGTAAATCAGCAGGTATAAACATAAAGCATATGGTGAAGGTTAAGTAAAGAGACAAACAGGCCAGTTGTGGTGCTGAACCTTATATAGATGTGACATAAGTTTTGTGTCATGCATGTTTATGATGTTTTAAATTCTCCAGAGCTCAGGCCAGTGAACTCTGGGTGAAGGGAGAGAAAGTGACCTGTGGGTACATCAGTGAAGATACCAGGGTGAGTGGTTTATCAAGAAACAGTGGCTGGTTTCACTGATCAGCCAGTACTGACTGCTCATTAATTAGCCCTCATTATGAGTGGATTCATAATTCATAAAATAAATAAACAAATAAAGCACCTTTGCCAACTTTTAACAGAATTTTACTGACACTGAGTGTGAAAATGATCATGGAACTCCAGACCTTCATACAAAAATTAAAAGTGTGTTTTTTACTAGTAGAACAGCTTCCAACCATTTCCATTATTATTATATTGTCAATTTATTGGTTGTTCTCATCTCTTTTTTTTAGCAATAAATTAAAGGAAATTTGAAATTTAAATGCATTCTTGAGAACGGAAGAAATGAATTAGACAGCAAGCACTTATGTATGCTTCCTATCAAATTGTCACAGTTGTATTTGGTTATGTTGGAGTCCTAAATATCTCTGAAGCATCATGTGATCTTGTTGCACAGGTGGTGTTCAGATCCACGTCTGCCATGGTCTACATCTTCATCCAGATGAGCTGTGAGATGTGGGACTTTGACATCTATGGTTAGTCAGGAAAAGTTCTTTACCATACGGTGCTTCTCAAGAGGTGAACGTTTCATTTGTTAAGCTGTTTATATGTTTTGTTTTTTAGGTGATCTCTACTTTGAGAAAGCTGTAAACGGTTTCCTGTCTGACCTTTTCACCAAGTGGAAGGTTTGTGTTTTCCTCTGATTTGCCCGTATTGTAACGCTTATCACACCCTTTTTATTCAAGCTTAAACATAAATTCTGTTTAATGTTGTAACAGGAGAAGAACTGCAGTCATGAGGTGACAGTTGTACTTTTCTCACGTACATTCTACAGTGCAAAAACTATAGGTGAGTCTGTTTATTCATCATCACAATGAGTTATGACAAAAAAAAAAAAAAATACTACAGCAGTGCTAGAAGAGCCAATGTGTGAATTATTGTTCCCCTCAGAGGAATTTCCAGAGATTTTGAGAAGTTCGATCAGACAGGATCACGAGGGACGCTTCTATGAAGACTTTTACAGGTAAACATGCTAACATGCTAACATGCCTGGAGCTCAGAGAAATGACAGACTGGATCATGTTGGCTTTTGACTGTTTTGCATTCAGGGTTGTGGCTCAGAATGAGAGACGGGACGAGTGGACGTCATTGCTGGTCACCATAAAGAAGCTCTTCATCCAGTATCCTGTGCTGGTGCGACTGAAAGAAGCAGGTAGTGAATAACTTGAGCAATTTTTTCAGGCTAATGGATTTTTGCATCAGGCTCCTTTTCTAACCAAAATCTTGTGTTCATTTCTTTTCATGTCAGATGGTTTTCCTGTGGGTTATAACTCCACTGCTGCTCAGGGAAACTATCTAGAGGCCATTAACCTTTCCTTCAATGGTAAGTAGTCTGGGTCGACCCATAGGTTGTTGTTTAAAATACCACAAACTTCAACAAAAAAAACTTTGTTGGTGCCTTTGTTTAGCATCTGTTAAAATATAAGGAAACTTTTCAACATTTATTTTTCAGTATTTATTGGCTATTACTCATGTCGTGTGAATGAGATAGTCCTGTGGAGGGACATTATTCGAGACTGCAAAGTGAGCCTGAGTAGCACATTTTAGAAAGTATTGTATGTACTGTATGAACACTGACAGAATGTTAACTTGACTTAATTACTCCTTCTGTCTATACCGGTCATTAAAATAGCTCTATTAAAAGCGTTACCAAAAAAAAAAAAAAGGATCTTCACTTGTCAAACTGTGAATCTGCTCTTTAACATCAAAGGCTAGTAAGGCCAAGTATCTGTTACTATTTTTTTAAAAAAAAAACTTTTAAAGAAGAAAAGCTGATTGCCAGTACGTCTCTTTCAGTGTTCGATAAGCACTACATCAACCGTAACTTCGACCGCACCGGCCAGATGTCGGTGGTCATCACACCCGGTGTCGGGGTGTTCGAAGTCGACCGTCTGCTTATGATTCTCACCAAGCAGCGTATGATTGACAACGGTGAGTGTGAAGATACAAACGCAATCTTGTCACTCACTAAAAATGAGGGGTTTGTTGTAGGAAGATTAAGGTGTCGGTTACGCATACTTGTCCCTCTTTAGGTATCGGTGTGGACTTGGTGTGTATGGGGGAGCAGCCTCTACATGCTGTGCCATTATTTAAGGTAACACGTTCAGACTGTCATTAGGCATCAGGTTACATGTTCATTAGTTACTGACAGTCTCCATTGTTTCCCCTTTAGCTACACAACAGGACGACACCCGGGGACTCTCGTGTGGGAGACGACTACAACCTGCCTCACTGGATCAACCACAGGCAAGACAGCTGACTGATGAGGAGAAAGATTATTTCATATTACAGCTGCATTCACAGTTACTCAACCTCATTACCATCACTCACGTAATGTGAATACAATGTAATAAAAACAACTGAAGTTTAGCTCAACAGTCAAAGATAGCTCATTTAAGCATGTGAGAGGTTTTTGAGAAGATATTGTTGAGCTTACTGGTGCTCCTAAAGATAAATAATTTCTCCCAAAAGGTTTATAATTAAAATTCTCCACAGCGTTAATTTAGATTGATTGCACATCGTCTTATTCCGCTTGAAGAAGTTGAGCTCTTTCTTTCACTCTAAGGAAGGTTTACTGCTGTACCAGAAGTTTTAAACAACATATAATGCTGAACCGGCTCTTGGAACTTGAAGTGTGTTAGAAATGTTTTTTGAAGCTATTTTTTGTGCTGTTGTGAATTCTTGTCTTCCCTCAGCTTTAGCACAGCTCCTTTATCTTTGCCATTTTGGCTACATACACATTCATAGACAGTATTTGTACCTGCATCACAGCTGAAGCAAATTCATTGTTCGTAGCCTGAAGTACAATTTACTTTATAAGGTCACTCATGTAGATGAAATGTATGAAAACTCCACATCATCAGAAAACCTTAGTGTAAACCTTTAGCATTGAATATTTCTCATTACAACTGTAAATCTAAAGGTGGAATTGATTGCTCTGTATCTTATTTGTATCTTCTTACAGCTTCTACACCTCCAAAAGTCAGAACTCTTGCAGCTCCTTCACCCCTCGAATCAAACTGGCTGGTCGTAAGGTACATTCACACTTCTTGCAGCGCTGTTGCTTCATTTCACAAATTCGCGTCTTGTTTGTTTGAACATCTCATTCAAATGTCAATTATTTTGTAGCTTCATGCTGAAAAATTCAAGAGCAGCAAAGAGCACAGTAAGTTTTGATTGATATCTCCATAGTCTACCTTTAGTTATGTGAAGTGTAATTCAGGTACTGACTTCATGACGTCCTCCAGCTCTCTGTGCACCAAAGGACTCAGACAACAGCCTGCCGATTCAGGTGGACTACGACGCCTACGATGCTCAGGTGTTTCGACTTCCAGGTCCTTCACGAATTCAGAGGAGCACCAACTTTAGGTATTTGACTGTTGACAGACCACTTCGCTACACTTGATTGAACACACTGGAGAACAGAGATGTCCTCTCTTGTGAACCTTGAAGACCTTCAGCCCTCTTGTCTTTCAGGATGGGTCGAGATAAAGAAACAAGCGGGAGGAAGAGCTGGGGCTCGGTGGACGTCAGCGCAGGCATCGGCGCCTCCCCTCCTGTTCGTTCAGGAGGTCCTGAGGAGCAGCGTAGCCTGGCCTCTGATGATAGTCTGGGTCCTGTGTCCAACATGCTGCTGATCCCCCGCATGCCTCCTGCTCAGTATGAAGTCAGCAGCTCTTTGGGATACACCAGCACCAGAGGTAGCTGCTGCAGATCTTTAAAGACTGTAAGGTGGTTTGATATCTTCACCTTCTCCATGCCATTCCTTTTGTCTTGCATTCTCATTGTGTTGTCCAGAGTTATTAGAGAAGATGATGGACTCTCAGCGGGACTCCAGCGCCCCGGGCAGGTTCACTGTGGGCAGTGCTGAGTCCACCCTGCACATCCGTCCAGGAGGCTACACCCCTCAGAGAGCGCTCATTAACCCCTTCACCCCATCCAGGATGCCCATGAAGCTCACCTCCAACCGCCGGCGCTGGATGCACACCTTCCCTGTCGGTGAGGTGACACAGTCTTTAGGAAAAAGTCTTTCCTTTTTTTTTTTCACCACCATCTGTCCAAAATATACTAACCAAAGGATAAATTAAGAAATGTGTTGAACGCATTCATTGTTTCAAGAGATAAAGTACTTTACAATAAAGCAAATGTCAAATTAGACAAATAATGAAAACCAATTCATCCAATAAATAAGTTTGCAAACATGTAACATAAACAAGATGAAATAGTTAAGTCAAGTCAAGAGAACGTCTTTATACAGCATATCTAAGACAACAGCTGCTATGACAAAATGTCTTCCAGTTAAAAAGATTGATTGATGTTATAGATGTAACTTAACAAGACTAAACATTGCAGTTAAGACCCTGTAGTGTTACTGAATGTGTTAAGGTCCACAAAAAAGATATGAGCTACAGTGTTATTAATTATGAAGATTAGAATAACTAATGTAATTATATAGCTGGACTCTACAGTAATAAAAATGACAGAACTTAACCTTAATAAAATAAATATTGTGGCTCTACAGTGGTATTATTTGTGGAGGTTAACCTGACTAATTCAAAGCTATTTTTAAATAATATTTTTTGTATTTTATTGTTGTCTGAAATCACCCACATCGTCAGGTGTTTTTTCCAGTTTAAAGTTACTAAGTGCCAAGATGACTCATACATAACTCCTACTGTAAAGAATTACGAGCCAGAGTTTGCAGTTGTGTTTCTGACACTCATCTAATCATGAGAGCATCACTGTTCTTCAGGTCCCTCTGGGGAGGCCATCCAGATCCATCACCAGACCAGACAGAACATGGCTGAACTGCAGGGCAGCCAGCAGAGAGATCCGGCCCACACCTCCGCCGAGCTGCTGGAGCTGGCCTACCACGAGGCCACCGGGAGGTTAGAAACACCCACCACAAGGAACAAACCTCTCCTTTATAAACAATGTCACCCTGAAGCAACATGAGACGGTGAGATGAATACTTGTTGTTTGTGTCTTCATATAAGGCGAACGACCTCCAGGCACGCAGGAGAGAACGGCCTTTACATCGGTGGAGGGATGGAGGAGTTCCATGGAAGCCCAAGCAGCAGCAACAGTGGTGATATGACTGCATATATCTACACACTTTTTTATATTTTTGCTCTTTTAATCCAGCTTTAAACCACTATAGCTTAGCTGTACCACCACACTTGTGTCAGGTTAGCTGCTTTGACATTTTTCCAATTAAAAAATAAAGACACAGGCATCAGTATCAGTGGAGGCTTGATCTATGTTTTTTTTCTTACAGTCAACAAAACACACATGCAGAACCAAACCAACAATTAAAGGACCTATTAGCTAATATTGTATGTATGCAAAAGCTGAAATCTGTGCCATAGAGCTTCAATATGGTTCCAAAACTATTAGAAACATTATCATCAATACACACTTTAGGTTGCTGTGATTCAGTTAATTTATGTCTTCAGTGAGAACCAATGAGTTTTTGTCTGTGCACTATAAACAGGGGAGACAAGACAGGATTCACACATTGTTGGTTTGGGTTTTGGAATTTGTTGACCACGTAAAGAAAAATGCAGAAGAGCACCAACCTGATGATTTTGAGTTTACACTAGCTCATAATCTTAGTGCAAAACTCCATAAAAATCTCTATTTAAGGTTATATAGCAATCTGAAGCACAACTAACTGTTAGGATGAACTTTTAGTTGCTGAATCCTGAATCATGTAACTGTGCTTCTCTTTTTTTTGTTCTAACTGTGAACTCGGTACAGGAACTCTCACCAACCGTGGCTCCTCATTTCAAGACTTTTCTGCTGGCGGTACCGATCCAAGTGAGTCCCCTAACTCCAATAGAAACAAACACTTTTCATTTGACACGTCTGACAAATGATCATGTAGCTGTGCCTCAGAATCAGGATGATGGTTTTGATCACCCAGCTGATGATGGCAATAAACCGTCAGAGGTGCCTTTAACCTGTGAGGGCTTATTCAGCTTTGGCAGGCAGGTTTCTCCACTGGGCGTCTCCAGGGTTCGCAAGTACAAGAAAGGCTTACAGGTCATGTGGTTTGGGGTTACCCTCTCCTCCTCCTCCTCCCTCTTTATCCTCACTTTTCTCTGTCTCACTTTTCTCTCTCTCTCTCTCTCTCTCTCTGGGTCTCTTCCTTTTAATCTTTACGATAAGGTGTTAGCAGGTGTAAAATGCTTTAATTAATTCACCCTCTTAATTCTCCTACACCATGACCTGTTTGCATTCAACAAGCCTTGTGTAAATATCCCACATCTGCATGGCAGCGTGAATGGTATACATTCTTAATTGACTGTAAATTTGATCCCTCTGTCAGAGAAATGTCTTTCTTTCACACAGTAGCTTTAGTCACGAGTTTGCTCACCGATCTGTATGTTTGCATGATGTGATTTCTCTGCTTAAATCAGTCACTTCACAGTTCACACCCTTGCTGAGCTCAGGACACATTTTCACTTTCTTGCGAGTGCTGCTGATCACAGACTGACTGTCACAGCGCCACAATCTGCATGTCTGATCACTGCTCCGCTGCAGCTCCTCAGGAATCACCAGCAGGGCTGACAAGGCCAGTAATAGTAACTCTTTTCTTGTTTTTTCTTCCTCTCTCTTCTACTTTATGTGTTTGTCGTTTGCACCTTCACCATCACTCTGTCTCCCCCATCTTCATCTTCTCCCTCCCTTTCATTTCTCACCCCCCGCCCCCACCCTCCCTCCTGCTCCACTGTGCTTCCTCTCCATCCCTGCCCCCAACACACATGTACTTCTCCACTCTGGGTACATGTATTTGTCTTTGCCTTGGGGATTTTTTTGTTTCTGTGTGTGTGTGCGTGTGTGAAGCCCTGCTGCTGTCTGCGCCCCCGACAGTGCCCAGCTTCTGCTGCACGGTGGGGGTGGACTGGAAGTCTCTGACCACACCGGCCTGCCTCCCCCTCACCACCGACTACTTCCCCGACCGCCAGACGCTGCAGAACGACTACACTGAAGGCTGCTATGACCTGCTGCCGCACAGTGACCTGGAGAGGTAGACTTCATTCTGTCTTCACAAGGTTCCTTCAAAAAGTTCTCAACCTCCTTGGGAAACTAGAAGCATAACTTCCATTTTACGGCGTAACTGTATATCTTAAAGCCTTATGTGACTGTCCACAAAAACTAAAACGTTTGTCGTCATTTCTTGCAATCAAACAAAAAAGGAGAGGAACACTTCGAGCTTACATGCTGTTGCACCAGGACACGGCACTCGCCCACACAGCACTGGTGGCAGAAGCAACCATCCATCCATCCATTATCTATACACCGCTTAATCCTCACTAGGGTCGCGGGGGGGCTGGAGCCTATCCCAGCCGACGAAGGCAGGGGACACCCTGGACAGGTCACCAGTCTATCACAGGGCCACACTTAGAGACAGACAACCAAGCACACTCACATTCCAGAAGTAACCAAATATATTTAAAAAAGATGCATAGATAGAATAGATGGATAGATGAATGAATGGACAAATACTTTATTCATCCCCCTGGAAAAATTCAAGGTATTCAGCTCACACATGTTAGATTTAAGAAAAACAAGGAAATGATAGACAGACGTTTATTTGTCCCTGTGGGGAAATTGGTTTGCAGCAGAAAACACTCAAATGGCATTTCACTCTGAGGTAGCCCACAAACACAAACACCTCAAAACAATATCTCCACATTTCACACGTTATGGCCAGACCAGCTGGATCTTATTTCCCGTCCATATTTTAAAAATTGATGGCTTGTGGAATGAAAGACGGTTTGGACCTGTTTTTATTTTAACAGAGGAGGGCAGTAACGCTTTGCAGATGACACGAATGTTTCAAAATAGTGTGCAAAGTAACATGCAAATCATGCTGGTAGAATAAATAAGGGGCAAAATTGTGCTGGTATTTACAGTATTAAAGTCAAAATAGAGTATGTTAACAAGCATATAAGAGGGGTGCTTGATGCTGGTAGACCAGGTTGCCCCATGCACCTGACGAGTATGTGGAGGCTCAAAATGTGACCTTCAGCGCGAGCATCATCCGATCAAATGCATTAACATTAAAGAAGACTAAAATAAATCAAGAACAGTCTTTCTCCTGTAATGTTTTCTGAGACAAAGAACTTTTTGAAGTACTCTCATGGAATAAAACTGTCTATAGCCCATCACCTTTGAGCCTGCAGCCAGCTCATGTCACCCAACAAACAGAGGTGATGGGATGGGTTTGTTCTTCTCACTTTAAGTGTTTCAGGTTGAGTAAAACAGTGTTCTGTTACCATCTAACCAACACAAACCTGATGAGAGAAATTCATTTGTGGCTTCAACCAGAGTGGAGAGGCCAGAAGTCGGACCTACAACGTTGCTCCTGACAGATTTTTTTGAACCAAAATTCCTTTTCCATTTTCCTGCGCTCTCTGGAAGCTGTTCACTTTGCAGATGAAGACAACAGCAACATCACCACGAGGGAAAAAAACAAATCTGGTGAAAACATACTACACATAAAAAAAAACTACTAAGTTCTGTCTTTTTGTGTTTTTGTCTCTTCCTCAGGCGAGAAGATGAAGCTCCAGTGATGAGTGCATGTCAGGTGTTTGAGGAGTTCATCTGTCAGAGGTTGATGCAAGGATACCAAATCATTGTTCAGCCAAATAACAGGAAAACGCAGCCGGCTGTGGCCACGCCCCTCGGCAGCAGCCCTCTTTACTCCAGAGGTGAATGAATGTTTCATATGATTTCTGTCTTTTCTTTTAACTGACCTTAATTTTTATAATGAGTAAACACACAAGGAACTACTATTGGAGGCACCTTTGGAGATATGAGCAAGCAAAATTAGTCTGCATCTGGAAAGGAAGAAGATGAAAATAGTAGAATAACTTACAAACAAAAGAATAGTGTCCCTCAATTGCTGACTTCAAATCTTTCGCCTGTCTGAATCATTCATTTTATGCAATTAAACACTTAACCTTTTGCCAATCCTCACACTTTTTGCCTTTAAGATGTTCTCAAGTAAAAAATGATTTTAAGGTTTGACCTAAAGTAGATGACAGTTTTTTACTGGATACTGAAACATTGATTGTTCTATTTCTTTCAGTTTGACCTTATGAACGTGGTGTTGTGTCCTTGTTACAATAAATAAATACAGACACAATCATGAAGAAACATGTTATTGAAGCTTATTGTCACTGTATCATTATGGTGCAGCACCTGGGTTATAGGTTTAATGCAGAACAGCATTTTCTTTGCGATTGAAGGATTTCGATGACATCTGCTCTGCAAATGAAGATGCACGTGATGCTCCTCATGATGAGGAAATCGTTTGTGATGACGCTGATGAATCCTATCATTTAAAAACAGGACTGGAGTTTTAAAATGGCAAAACAGAATACATCCAACTAGCACTAGTTGGCACTAAAGAGGGAATCTCTTATAGTTAAATCAGAAACCTTGGTCCTGCTTCTATGAGCACACAAGCAGTTATCAAGGACAGTTGCCACTATGGAAACCAGAAGGTCACACAAACATGCCCTCGTCTGGAAATTTTGGCTGCTTCACCACATCTAGAAAAAAGGAAACAGGTCCCATGACTTCAAGCTGATGAGTGCTCTAAAAATCTTTGTCCATAATCACCGCTGCTACTGCTGTCTGTCCATGCTCGACCAAAAAATGCTAGCCATGCTCACACTTTTCTCTGTGAGCGCGTTACAATAACCACAAGCATGTGACGGTAATTAGTGAGAACTGTTTGTGACTCTGTGGGAAGTTTCAGCTGTAGTGTCTCTTCCCTCTTCAAGAGATGATTGTGGGAAACTTCAACGTGCGTTTTGTTATCGTAGACTCCTTATTTCCTCTTGTGTTTTCAGGTCTGGTGTCTCTGCGTCGGGCAGAGGAAGAAGAGACGGTATACTGGCTCAGCATGGGCCGAACTTTCCATAAAGTCTGCCTCAAAGACAAGATAATCACTGTGACTCGCTACCTACCAAAGTGAGTGCACCTGACAGCATCCAACACAAATATGCAAACACAAAGTCGGTGTTCGTGCCACATCAAATCGACCATATGTGTGTGTGTGTCTTCTAGTGCAGTGATTCCCAATCTTTTACCCAAATGGTGCTTTTGAATTTGTCAATGAAAGAAAACAGGAATTATGAAAAGGTCTGCATTGGAGTAACTGTAAGAAAAAGTACTTCATAATGATAATTAACATTCAGTTTAAAATCAAGTTAGAAGAACACATTTGGAATGTGATGGGTGATGTCAATAAAGGAATACTGTTCTTTACTGTTACTATGTTAATAAGTGTGTTAACAAATGTGCACAGACAAAGTACTTAGAAGCAAAAGAAATTCCTATTTCATGATCCTGTCGCGTCATGTGTGTGTTCAGGTATCCGTATGAGTCGGCTCAGATCCAGTACAGCTACAGCCTTTGTCCTCCGCACTCTGATGCTCAGTTTGTTTCCTGCTGGGTGGAGTTTGGACATGAGAGACTGGAGGAATACAAGTGGAACTACCTGGATCAGTACATCTGCTCTGCCGGCTCAGAGGACTTCAGGTGCACACAGTCACATTCACAGAGTACACACATTTACACACTGACGAGCCCGTCAATCGCATTCTTCTCGGTAAATACTGTAGGATTCTTTACACAGGTTGAATGAGTTTGGTCCTACGCACATGCTATAATGCTATGATACATATAAACTATATCATAAAGTATCCTCACCTTTGGTCAGTTAATGTCATTCTGCTTTTACACTCTTGCATACTTTGTACATTCAGATTTAACTGTTTCATTTTTGTATCTTTAATGTTTAAATAACCCTAAAAAAAGAACAAACGTCTACAGAGCCTGTAAAAAGTATTGACCCCCTTGGAGGTTTTTGCTTATTATTACTTTTCGACATTGAATCATGGTCAGTTTTTTGACATTTGTTTACACAAAAAGGCTCTTTCATGTCTAAATGAAAACAGATTTTTGCAAAGTAATGTAAATTCATCAAAAATATAAAATGCATGAGACAAGGGAGGGAACCAAGATTATTTCCAAGTCACTAAATATCCCCTGGAGTACAGTTAAACCCGTCATTGAAAATAGAAGGAATACAGCACATGTTTAAATCTACCTCGAGCCGGCCGTCCTCAAACCATCCCCACTGTGAAGCACGGTGGTGGCGGTATCCTGATGTGGGGATGCCTCTCAGCAGCAGGCCCTGGAAATCTTGTAAGAGAGTAATAGATTAAAAAGGAATGCAGGAAAGTGTATAGAAATCCTGGAAGACAAGTCTGGTCCAGTCTGCAAGAAAAGCTGCCACTTGGTAGAAGACTTGTCTTCTAGCCAGACAGTGACCTGAAGCATACAGCCCAGTATACACAGAAATAATTTAAAGACAACAAGGGGAATGTTCTAGATGTTCACATCTCAATCCAGTTGAGAATACGTGGCTGGATTTTTAACAAGTCCTGTTCACTCATGAGCTCTGTGCAACCTGACAGAGTTTGAGTACAACTGGGTAAAATTGCAACGTCCAGAAGACTGATTGAGACCACAACATAAAGGCTCAATGCTGTAATTGCGGTCAAAGCAGCAGCTACTAGACACTAACCTCTTTTATATTTTTATTTAATTGACATTACTTTGTAGAAATCTGTTTTGATGTTGACATAAAAGGATCTTTTTTTGTAAATTCTAGCCCAAATTAAATTGACCGCATTTTAATGTTGAAAAGCAATAAAAGTCCACGGCGGTGAATACTTTCAATAGGCACTATTAGTCAGTTACTATGTTCTACTTTTCCTCTTGTTCCCCAGCTTGATTGACTCGTTGAAGTTCTGGAGGACTCGCTTCCTCCTGCTGCCAGCCGGAGGGGCTCGGCGGGTGGCGGATGGGGAGGGTCACTGGGACGTGTATGGGGAGGGAGCTGGTGCTGGGATGGCTGGCAGCGGGGACTGGGTCTTACTGGACGGCTTCATTCGATTCCTGGAAGGTCTCAACCGCATTCGGCGACGTCATCGATCTGACAGGATCATCAGGGTGAGGATCACCTTGGCTTAAACATTTGTGTAACAGAAACACCTGCAAAAAGTATTTCATATATCAAGCTAAAATTTCACAAATATCTTTTTTAAATATATATATTTTATACTGTAAATATGTCAGGCAGATCAGAGATGGTCGAGCAGAAATTGTTCGGAAATGTTGATGATTTCAGACGGAACAGACTCAAAATTTTCTCTGTGTTTCTCGTGTAGCAGAAAGGCACACCGATGAAAGGCCTGCAGGTGACCAGTCCTCTCCCTCCGTATCCTACTGAACCTGTACCACCACCTCAAGGGAAGAAAGGCACATCAGCTTTATCAGCCCTGCTGGAGATGGAGCAGAACCAGAAGTGAGTGTTCCCCTAATGTTCTTTGCACTGAAACCATGAATCTGAATCATCACTGCATCTTCTTTCTGCCTTCTGTCAGGACACTAGAAGAGCAGCAGCAGTCAAAGCCCTCAGCAGCAGTCAGTGACTCCTCAAGTGTTGCCACAGCTTCCACATATGTAGACAGTCCCCGCAAGGTGAGCGTTTTTTTATGTGTGTGAGTGGATCAGAGTACGTCGTTCTGCTTCAGGTATTTGGCTTTTGCAGATACATCAATTTTATTTTATTTTTTCCAGCAGCAAATACCTTGATCATGTATTTCTTCTTTGCTGGTGCTTCGGTGTGGAGCTTTGGCTCTAGTTTCCCTCCTTCCATCTGCATTTTCTCCATGCGTCTGTTTTCTGTTCCTGTTGCTGGGCTTTGTGTGTTTGATCTGGGTTGTGTTCTTCCTGTATGCTGACAGGACGCTGCCTTTATTTTGGATTTTATACGTAGCCCTCGCTCCTCCTACATCTATCACTCTCAGGTCAGTAACAGGGTCTCTGGGCATAGCTGAAGCTGTGTGTTGTGGTGTGAGTGTGTGTCTTTGTGTTATTATAGTGCTGTAGCTCTTCTAATTCACTCTTCGTTGCTGCATGAGCATGCTGTGCAGCTGTGACACTGTGTGTGGAAATCACCTGACTTTTGACTTGAAGTGCTCCTTCAGATTTGACTTGTCACTTTTCTTGTGTGTACTTTGTGCCTGCTGGTAGGTAGAGACACTCTCACACTGGGATCACATTTATTCACATTTATCTGTGCAAAAGCCTGTGGTGAGATATTCAGACATGAAACTCACTGAGGTCAGTGGTTATAAGCGACATTTTACCACAGGAGTCAAAAATGTAATTCACCGACAAAATGTAAAAAAAAAAAAAAGAAAGTCACACGAAATTAGAATCTGTGTTTGTGCAAATGATTGTAGTTCACTTTAAACACTTTATTTTCAATGACAAAACACCCAAATGTGTTTTGTCTGCCTTTAGGTTAGTCAGTTAAATATATGCATCCTTAGTGTTGCAACTTGAACAATAAAACGTAATATTGTCTATTAAGTCATAGTCAGTGGTTATAAAATGGGATCTTAGAAAATCCCAAAAATCAATTGTTTAACTTCCTCAATAAAAAATAGTTCACTTTTAAAATGATCAATATTTGCATATTCAAAGATCCTAAAATATTCCAGGCGAGGATTAAAAGTTTTTGTGTGTTTTTCTTTTTTAGCAGGTTGTTTAGGGGTTGTTGTGACATGAAATTGTTCTGTAGGAGGCTGTTATATCCTTTTTTTGTGGACTTTCTGTCACCACCTTTAGCCCTGTGGTCCCGGTGTAACTAACATGTATCACGGACTCACTCAGATAAACAGTTGAGGCCCACTTGTGTCCATGCATGATGTCAGGACTGGGTCTGTTCATCACATTACAGAAGACGTGTTTTCTCACTTCCCACTGCTGGCATCTATACATGCAGATGGTAGCTGGCTTTTATTTCCACGTTAATCAACTTTATACTTCTGCTTTACCATATTTCATTTGGAAATATTGTACTTTTTACTTCTGTTACATGTGTCTTGTAGTTGCTTTGCAAATTGAAGCCACTCTGATTAGGCTTGGCTCTTAGTTTGGCTGTATAATGTGATGCCACCAATCTTCTATTGTCAATACTCAGACTTCGACCCAGGACCTTCTAGGTGACAGTGCTAACCACTGCACCATCGTGCTGCCCACGGGGGAAGTTTGTCCTGCCTAGTACAGAGTCGATATAACAAACCAACAGAATGGTGAACTACAGTGTTGGTTCACGTTCTCTCCTTTTGTCAAATGTTACACCTCCACTGTGTTGGTTTGGTGGCAGAGACATCAGAAGCTAAAATCATCTGCACAGTTAGATACTGCTGGATACAAGTGATTAAAACGGTCTTTTTGTAATCAGGGGAACAGCTTTAAACACACTGATTAAAACGGTGCATTTATTGACATGTTCCTACCTGTGTAGCTGCCTGCTGAGACCAGTGAGGCCGCTGATAAAGGAGTTCAGTCTGGAGTCACAGCTGGAGCAGCAGCACAGCCATCAGCAGAGACTACAGCAAACACCTCCGACACCAGGTGAGCTTTAGCTTTATGTACAGCACAGATACTGATGAAGCAAGCACATAAAATATTACTACTGTAAATGTGAGTATTATAGCGCATTTAAACAGACTGGGACATTTTGAGTTTGTG